TCCTGCCCCTCCCAGGAACTGCTTCTGGACATACTGACTGCTTTTGGGAGTGCAGGGCAGGGCAAGCCTGCCTTAGCCCTGCTGCATCATCACTCAGAAGTTGCTTAAAGTAAGTGATGCCCAGCTTGAGCTTGCACCCTGAACCTCTGCCCCAGCCAATGAGCCCCTCCTGTACCCTGAGTCCTCCAGGCTCAGTCTAGGATCCCTCACACTCCAAACTCTTTGGCCCAAGACCAGAGTCTGCACTCCTATCCCCTGCCCCAGCCTAGGGTAAGGAAGGAGGAGAGTGCAGGAAGGAGGTAGAGAAGGGGTGGGGCAAGGGTATTTGGTTTGTGGTAGATCCTTCACAAGGATCACAGGACCACTGACTTACAGTATCATATAAGCAGGTGGAATTCTGAGGCAGATTAATTTTCCTCGATCCAAACTGTAGAGGAAAATTGTTAGAGCCAAAGTAGGGTACACTAGCACTTGCTATTATTAGCTGTACTAGTTACAATATTAGCTAGCTGGAAATTCTGTGCACACTGCTAGGCACGAAATACCTAGTGTAGCCTAAGTTTAACAGCATTTTTATTCAAATCTCTACTTGATAAATGTTAAATATAACTAGCATTTTTTGCCTATAAAGGTGCTAAATTCCACCAAGTAATAAGGGAGTGATAGAAACAATTTTCTTGAACAAACTCTGCCATATCTAGTGTTTAAAGTCAGCCATTAGGTATGTCTCTTAAAGATGTTAATATGGGCAAGAACCCCCTTCCCATAGGTTTTCCCAAGATGGAGGAAGCATGTCATGTTCAGTCCTGGCCAGCAGCTAAAGTGTTTTCATTGGATCTCTTCATTGCTGTAGTGTTTATGAAAAGCAGAGTAGAACTAGAGCTGAACTTAGAAGGATTCCTACAAGAATGCTGCATGACTTGTGACGGACCAGGCTGCTCAGGGCGAATTGCTCAAACTCAGGGCTCCTTACAGTCCCAGACTGGAGACCTTCCCAAATGGGCCACAAACCAGTCACACCGAATGCTTCAGCTGCCAAACTGGCTAGCCAGAAGCCTCATGAGGAAAATCCTTCTGACACCCCAGCTCTTCCTGTGCCCCAATCAGCCCCAGGCCTAACAAACAGGGAGGGATTTTAGAAGAACCCAACCTTACCTACCAGGAACTGGGGACCAGAAGAACCTGAAGCCAGCCACAGATCCCTGGTCAATTTACACTCTGGATCTTACCCACAAGATCACACAGAGCCAATCCTTTAGAATCTACAACCTAAAGGTTTATTACTCTACTGCTTTTCTTTCTTTTCGTAAGGTTAAGGAGATTACATTACATGCATTGAATCACTAAGTTCTCAGTGCAGTCTCTTAGCAGAGATGTTACAAACTGCTAGCTTAAAAGTCTCTGGTGTACATCTTATGTCAGGATGGGTCGATGGTTCTTCCCAGCTCATTGTTCCCTGCAAGGTTGCATCTGGGATCAGGAGCTAAACTCCAGATCAGATGGAGGGTGCCACATGGCACTTATATACTTCTCCTGGCATCTTCCTGGCCAGAGCAGGTCCCTACAGGTCACATGGTCCATTGACCTATCCTTGTGTCCCAAGTCAGCAACCATTATTCTGGCTGGCATCCAGACATTCCTCAGGTGTGTCTCTGGCACTTAGATATCTGTTGTTTCTGGAGCCTTGCTAATTAGTATAGCCACTGGCTGAACATTCTTTGCTCTGCCTCAGACAGAGAACCTTCCAGCATCAACACAGAGTACATAATTATAACTCTGCATACAGATATTATACAAGTACATAAATAGCATATACAGAATCAGTAGAATGTAAGCTGACACCTCATATGGCCACCTTTGTGTAGACTTTTGGGGCATCCCCCCCCTTATGGGTGCAACAGTGATCTGGCTTCTCCCTTTACAATCCAGTAACATGACAACTGTCCAAGCATGGAAGTTTAGATGACCAAATTAGTCACCTTGAACTGGCCAGCTGAAAAATGGCCATCTCTCCTGTTTATGAACGAGCCTGGGCTCTTATTCCCTCACCAGTATAGCTGCCTTAAAAAATTGCCACCAAAAATATAAATACACGAGTTATCAGTTTCCTCAAGACAGTTTTCAGTTTGCCCTTCAACCCTCTCTTTGCCCCACACTTTTTGCCATTGAAGGGAAGGGAAGGGAGCACAGGCAGAGTAACAAGTGAGCAAGGCCCAGTGTTCTGTTATCTGCCACTAAATGGGGACTTTAAAAAAAAAGGCCACTTCTGTTGCAAAATGTTTAACCACTGATCTTGACCAATGTTACTCATTAGCTCTCCCCTCCCCCCCCCATTCTGCTGTCCAGCAAACCCTGTCCTCCTGGAGTCCTGAAATTGTCCAGTGCCATCAAAATAGTCACTCAAGTTACTTCCGGCACAGTTTACAGGCTGGCTTCCAAACCCCCAGAAAAACTACTTTCCCATGTAACCCCCATTTCCTGTCCAATTGCACCCATTCTAAAATAGCTGAGCTGCAAACGTTTGCCTGTAGCTGTATGTTGTAATAAGGACAACACAGCAGGGTACAGATGTTCTCAGCCCTCCTTAAGATACCTGTCACGGATACAGGGCTCAGTGACTATTTTCAAATAGTGTTCCAGGAACCCATTTGGCCCCCAAGCATCAACATCCTACACTTCCCTCTCTATGGCTTGAGTTTAATACATTGTCAAAGAGGAAAGCATCCAAAGTTCTCTGCACTACTAAACAAGAGTTGTGTTGCTGGTAACCATCCTGAAGGCTAGGGGCAAGGGCAGTGAGAGAAAAGACACAGCTCAAGTATATTTCTATTATTAAATAGGTAAACATTTTATTCCTTCAGGCAAATTCTAATCACATTCTAGGTTAGCTCCCAAAGCTACACACAGGATGAAAGAAAAAAAATTTAGTCTCTCTCAAGACCAAAAGAATTGATGTCCAATATCTACTTTTGTAGATTTAGAAGGAAATCAGATGGTAACAGGAAAGTCATTTCCAAAGGCTCTGATGGCAAGGTGATGCAGTCACAAATACCAGTCATTTTGCACCTGAAATTAGAAGTGATGAGTAGAGATTACACCATCTTTTTGGAAGAAGCCAGTTTACCATACATGCTTTGAAGAGCTCTTTAGGCCTCTTAAATGAGATCATGTTAGGTTAGTAACCTAATAACAGAAGTCTAGCCACCTCTGAGATCTACTGCTCAAATCATTAAGGGAAAATGATAGGGCTTGTTTAATGTAGATAAAGTCACTCCCCCCCCCACCCCCCAGAATGAGTTCAGATAGATAGAACTGACTTCAGCCAATCATATCAGGGCACAGCTTGTCAGAAGAGACTGATTTGTTGCAATCAAAACTTTATGGAAATGTATTGAGAGACCCAGGCCAGCTGACTATAATAGCTTGGTGGTGGGCAGACATACCAGGAGTTAGGTGAATGGTGTTCTGTTTCCTGAATCAGTTGCCAACCCGTGTGGCCATGTAATTCAGGCAGGCAGCTGAGGTTAGTTAAGAGCTTGCCTGAAGCAGCAGGCTAATCAGGCACCTGTAGCCAATTAAGGCCTTTGGGGCTACTTTAAAGGGTTCTCCCCTCCCCCCAAGTGGAAGGAAGAAGTGGTGCTGGAGACTGCAAAAAGGAAAGTGTTGGAGTTGGAAAAATTCACTCAGGTACCAGAGAGAGTACTAGGGGCGTATTTGGGGAAGTAGCCCAGGGGAAAGGTTTCTGTATTGGAGCTCGGGGGGGGGCTACCTAGGATCCTTAGGCCAGAACCTGAAGTAGTGGGTGGACCCAGGCTTCCCCCCATCTTCTCACACCACAGAGTCTGTTTCTAGAAAGGGAGGGTAGGATTACAGAGGGGTTTCACCTCAATTTTTACTTTGCCAATGATGAGGAAGGCTCAGTAAGCTGGGACCCTGGCCTCTAGAAAAGATAAGAGGGAGTATGGAAGGTCCTAGTGATCATCTGAGGCATATCTGTATTAGAGGCAGTAACTGATTAGAGTACAGGACCCACTGTGCACAGCCAGAGCTTTGCCCTTTTGGAAGGGCATGCCTCAGGTCCAGGATGAAGTTTCTGGTCAAAAGTAATGCCAGGAGAGACACTAAAGGTTAGGGATTTGGAATGGGGAGAACCACATTCGAGTCCTTAGTTCACAGCAGGGACTTTATAATCTGGGTTCTCATATAGAAATCATGAGAGAATAGCCAATTGCTCTTTTCCCCTCTTTTTGCTTTTATTTTTGCAAAAATAAGTGCCAAAACATCTAGTTCAGAGCCAGATCACTGTTTTCATACCAGAGGGCAGAGTGCTGTGATGTGGCAAGCACGTATGAAACTTCAAGCAAGCAGGACAGCCAGTTGGCCCCATGCTTGTTCTTGTCACATATGAAGATGGCATATATAGCAGAGACTTAGAGGCACTGCATCTAAGTAACCAATATTTGGCCAGCAATCAGGGTATATGCATGACTATTGTAAACATAACAACATGTAACTGCTAAGATGCCATCCACTGACCTACATGAAGCATCAAAGATAGGAATAATTTAACGAGTTCAGTTAGTGAAGAGAAAACAGATCCTAGTTTAAATACTTGCATTATGTATATTTGCACAGCAGCCTCCCCAAGGACTTAAGTCACCTATCAAGGCACTGTACCAATGCTAGTTATGCTGGTACAGTACTAGATTTTCAATTCTAATATGGTGGATTCCCAGTGCTCGGTCCCACCCCTTAAAGTGATAAATACACAGCTCATGCTTACTCACTCCAAACAACATGCCTTCAGTCTGCAACCCTTGTTCTTGGTTTATTGCAGAGGCATAAGGTTAAGCACAGGAAATTCTGCACTAGGGTGGCTACCTCATTTTCATAGGTATGATACTATGCTGGGTTTTTATAAAACCCCCCATCAATGCTTTACCCACCCTTTACCTGCCTACTTCAGTCAAGTGTGGCAAATTAAAAAAGAGATCACTTACCTTTCGGTTATTGTAGTGCACCGATTTGCATTAGCTCTTGAGAGAGTTTTTCCTGCTCTTCTAAAGCAGCCAGATCAGAATAGCCACCAATGCAGACTTCTCCAATATATACCCGGGGGACCTAAAGGTGCACACAAGTGATGTTTGTCAGTCAGTGGCAAAGAAAACACAGCTGCACACCAGGGTCTCTGAAGACATTAAGGTATAGGTTCACAAGGATACTTGTATGTTACAATGCCTAACCTCTAGGTGCTCTGCCATCCAGTAGAATTCCTACCTTTGCATTTGGTGCCATCTGTTTTTATGGAGAGAAACAGACACTTAAGGAAGGGAGCCCCAGGAGCTGGCAAGTGAAGCAGGGACCACTTATGTAATCCAGAAGTGAAATTCAGAGGATAGGGGTGGAACTTAAGCTATTAGCTATTCTGCCATTATCTTGTGAGAAAGATCAGACCTGGCTTGGGCACTGCACTCCACAAGAGTATGCACACAATGGAAAAACTCCAGGGAAGGAAGAATCTCCCTCTAGTTGGTCAGTCCCACCACCTAGGCTGGCTTCTTCAAATGCTTTCCTTAGGCACCTCTCTTTTCCATTGCACTGTATGGAGCACCTGGTACCATAACTTGGGGCTGTAAATGCCAGCGAACTATATGAAGCCAAAGATGTAGGTGATAGGACACCTAGCTCAGGTTTGTTAATCTAGCCTGAAGCCCTTCCCTGGACTGTTGCCAAACTTCAAGAGGTTTAGTTTTAGCACTGCTAAAGAGTCAGTGTTGGGGAGGAGAGCATCATACTTGACGCTGTTTGCCCATCCCTATGAAAACTATAGACATTACCAACTCAGAGGCAAATCTTTGTCTAAATGATTGATTGACATACACACAAAAAACCCACCGTGTGTTAAAAAAGCTGCACTTCCAGTGTCAAGCCTGAGGCAGGCTTCCAAAAGAAAAAAAAAATTAGCAAGCTGGTCTGTTCCAGTAAGTTAATATGCAAGCTGTTATCTGGGAAGGAAGTCTGCTTACTAATCCTTGTGCAACTCTGTAAAATTAAACAAAGGTCACAAGCAAGACTCACATAACAACGTGTCCTCTGTCCTATAAATGAGGAAGTTGCCTCAGAAGTAGTTGGGAATACCTCTCACCAGTGGAGCTCAAACTCCTTTACAAGGGTGATGACTCACAAGGAGACAATAGAATAGCTGCTTTATCGCTAGATAAAGTGAGGGGCAATTCATATAGCTGCTCTGCCTAAAGCTACATAGAAAGTGAGTGGCAGAGCTGAGTCTAAAACCCAAGACTCTAGACTCCTAGCCCTATGCTCAAGCTTCTAGACCAGGGGTGGCCATATGCAGCTCTTCAAAGGAAAAATTGCAGCTCCCATACCCACGGCTGTTCTGCATTCCCTGCTCTGACTTTTTTTTGCTCAAAAACTACTTTCCCTAGGCTTTTTGTGCTGTATCCACCACTATTTTGGCTGTGTCTGTAATGGGTTGGCCACCTCTGTTCTAGACCAAATCTTTCACAACACAAAGTGAGTGTAATCTTAATGTACAGTTTTTCCATGGTATTTATCACCCCAGTGCCTGATGACCTTAGGGTTGCATGCCACTCCTACAGTGGAAGTGATGGAGAAGGCAAAAACTGTTTTTCAGAGTGAGTTAGCATTAGGATTATTATGGTTTGGGCTGAGACAGATTTGAAGCCGGGCAAGAATAACCACCACCTTCCATTTGAGATGGTTATAAGAAGCCATTATGTGCTTTACACAACTAAAGAGTGGACATAATAGGCATATCACACAACACATGCACTTGCATAGCTTGAGTAGAATCTGAACTGTGAGGGTCAAAGGGTATTCCTAGTAAATGACACAGCAAATTATGGGGCCAGAACATGGACTGGATTGGAGCAATGTTGATCTGAGTGACTAAATTTCCAACAAACAGCAGAATGACCAGAAAAGTTGACAGAAGGCAGTAAGAAACACCATACATAAACACAGGCACAGAAGCTCAGTGGAGCTTTATGACCCAGTGCTGGCTGAAAGTGATTTGGAAGGGCGAGCACAACTGTCTCTGGCTGTGTTCAGGGAAACAAGACTTTGTAAATAAAACAGGGATTACATTGATACAACCAGCCAAAGTCAGTTATTTGTTCAATCTATGATGCTTTAGCTATAAAAATGAGCAACTTCCAAATGCATAGAAAGGCAGCAGGGAAGCTTAATGGTGTCTGTAAGAGTTGCCACACGCTTAAATTGAACTAGTTAGACAGTAGCTTTGGAACAGAGATCAGACGCAAGACTTTGAGAGATAGGCAGGGTGAACTAAAATACTACAGCACACAAGACAGCAATACTGCAGTTATTCTACACATGGGAAGCCATTTTATAAGCAAAAACATGAAAAAAATTAAAGGATGGGAGGGGGGAGAAAAGTCTTGTGGCTTGCTCTGTTGCACCTTCTACTCCACTTAGCTAGGTTGCAAATTCCACAGGAGGGGGCTCTGCCTAGGGTTGTCAGATGGTTTCAACAAACACCAGACATTTGACATTACATCACAATCTACATTACAACTTATATTTTCTCAATTTGTTTCCTGAACAGAAAGCTCAAATACTGGACTGTCTGGTTCAAAACCGAACACCTAGCAACCCTAACTCTACCCTCTGTGCCTACAGAGCCCCTACCACAGTTTCAGGCATCACAAATGAGAGAACCATGCACATAATTAAGTGACTGTCAAATTCAAATAATTGAAAGACTCACTGTTCTTGCACCAGTTGTCTGCTGGAAATAGTTCTGAATGCCAGTCATATCATTTTGGGTTGTGATGTCAATGAATTCCAGGTGGCCTTTCTTGAAGGGATATTTGCTGAGCAGTCTCATCGCACTTTGGCAATAAGGACAAGTTGGTTTTATAAAAACAGCCACTGTATCAGATTTGATTTTGCTCTGCACAAACTCCTGAGTCATTTTACCAGTATTGCTCTCTAACACAAGGAGAAGCCGGGCACCAGTATCCTTCTAGCAGAATAGAAGCAGTAGCTGCAGCAGCAAGTGCTTGTGGCTTTTGTAAGCTGTAAACTGCCTTCCTTATTAAGGGCCACCACCCTGGAGGAGGAGTTTTCCTTCACTCAGTCTTGCATTTTTAAAGGGATAATGCACCAGGCTTCTGAGTACAAATGTAACAATTCTGAGGGTTGTAAACAGATGCATGATTCCCAAAGGTGAAGCAATTTGCCCATCAGCTGTTACTTCCTCTGTGTTGGGATATAATGACATTTATACAAATGGATTACTCTGCAACATTGCCTTAATAACTAATGGATGCAAGTGATGCCTATAAGTAGGGTTAAACCTTTAGCCTCTCTGGACTTGAGTTTGTATAGTAGCTTCCCCTAACATAGTGTGTCTCAACCATTTTGTGCTGATGACCTGGTGATACCCCCCATGCCCCGGGATTTTAAAAAGAATCATGCTCTACTAGAAAAAACTGCAATTCCCTACCTCAGGCTTGAGACTTCATCTCCTTGAGGTTCAGGGCTTCAGCTCTGTAGGGCATGGGACATAGGGCTCTAATGCCTTGAGATTTCAGGCTTCATCTTTGGGGCTGAAACATGTACATTACCTTTGTGGGGTTCCCTAAGGATTGGGGCCCAGGGCATAACACTAGCCCTGACTGCAGCCCCCTAACCCATCCCATGACCTGACCAGATTGAGAAACACTGTTCTAAAGGGAAACAGCAACAAAGAGCTGTGTAGCTGACTTAACTGAGATCCTGCTTTTTGTCAGGTCTCGCCCTAGAAGTTAAAATTAACTTGTGCAATACATATGCACATACACCCAAATTCCATGGTGAGCATTATGGGAATTCCCTGATTTCCTACAAGGAAACAGGACCACATTTTCAAAAGCACTTCTATGACTTGAGCCTCTCAGTCTCAATTGCAGAAGTGCCAATGATTTGCAAAATCAATAGATCTTCAGCTCCTAGGTCACCAAGGCACTTTTGGAAATTTTACCCAAACTAACGTTATTACACAAAGCTTTTCTGATAGATCTGCAGAACAGTGCAGGGTTTCTGCCTGTGTTGCTATTTCCCATCCCTTTTGTACTGTCAGAACAGCCTTGAGCTGAGGCACATGAAAAGTGAAATGAAGCAAACCATGTAGGAGTTTAATGGTTGGGATGACTACAAAATCCACATTCTTCCTGATGAATAGATTATAAATACTTTGTGCTTTTCCAGAGCTTTTCTACTTAGTTTTACAGACATGGAAACTGAGATACAGAGAAGCACGGGTCTTGCTCAAATTCACACACTGAGTCAGTGATAGAAAAGAAATCCTAAATCCCAGTCCTGTGCTCTAACCTTTAGTAGGTAAGGCAGTTTACTGAATATGACCCCATATCCTGCAGACATATGTTTATTAGCAAATGTACCCAGCGTTGCTTAGGTCTTTAACTGAAGTATTTTTTTAAATAAATGAAAAATATACATGTTTTATTTCAATTATTGTATTTTTTGAAAATGAAGGCTGCAGTGAGAGTTCAGGAGTGAGGAGGAGAAGGGGGTGAGTGGTTTAGGGCAGAGGGTTGGGATGTTTCAGGGGGCTCAGGGCAGGAGGCGGGAGTGGGGAGGCTCAGCAGGGGAACAGGGTGCAGAAGTCAAGGCAGGTAGGAGGTGAAGGTTGCAGAAGAAGGGGCTGGGAGATGGGGGAGCTTACAGGGGCCACCTGTGGGGGCGAGCATGGTGCTAGTTGGGTAGTAACTCCTCCCACAGGACCAGAGCAGCGCTCCCCTGCCAGCAGTCCTCCTCTTAGTTGGCTTCCTGTGGCCCGCAGGCTATCTGCGGGGGACAAGGCTATGAAGGCTGCTGCCCTCTCCAATGCCCTCTATAGCCTGCAGGCTGTCTGGGGGTGCCAGGCTCTGGGGTCTGCCCCCCTCCAATGGTGCCTCATGCAGGCTTTTTGGAGGGAGTGAGGTTCTGGGGGCTGTTCCAGCCTGCAGTGTCCCACCCACCCTGTGACCTGCAGACAGTTGAGGTGGGGGTGAGGCTCCGGGGGCTGCCCCGGCCTCCAGTGGCTTCCTTGTGGCTTTCAGGCTGCCCAGGGGTGGCAAGGTTTCTGGGGCTGCCCCTGACCTGCAAGGCTCCCCCATGAGGGGCAAGGCTCTGGGGGCTCCTCCCCCTCCAGCAGCCTCACTGCAGAAGCAGGCTGTATTGGGATAAAGCAAAGCTCCGGGGGCTGCCCCCTTCCTGTAGCGTCCCCCCATGGCCTGCAGGCTGTCTGGGGGGGCAAGGCTCTGGGGGCTGTCCCCAGCCTCCTGTAGCTCCCCCCAAGGCCTGCAGGCTGTCTGGAGGGCAATAGTTTCTGGGGACTGCCTCCAGCCTGGAGAGCCCCCTTCCCCCTGGAGGAGGGGTGTGACTCTGGGGGCTTCCCTCCGTGTCCAGCTCCCTCCCCCTGTGGCCTGCAGGATGTCTGGGGGCAGGCTCTGGGGCTTGTTACCCCCTCCAACTGCCTCTCCATGGCCTTCAGGCTGCATGGTGAGGAACCAGGTTCCTGGGGTTGCCCCCCTCCAGCAGCCCTTCCCTGGGGCTTGCAGGCTCCCCACAAGGAGGGAGGCTCTAGGTTTGGGGATGGGGTGTACTTATGAGGGATGTTAAATTTCAATTAATTAACTAATCAAATAGTTGATGGGCTTTCCATTGAGTATGTGTTTAGTCGATAAGGACTTCCGCAATCCGCCTTTCAAATGTAGAAGAGCCCCAGTAGCGGCTTTTGTGCATTTCAAAGATTGAAATGGGGCCAGCAGGGAGTCCCGCTGACCCCAGGCTCCACCCAGGCACTTCCACTTTGAAATGTACAAGAGCCCCAGCGGGTTGCATGGAGCCTAGGGTCAGTGGGGGACTCAGAGTCCCATGCTGGCCCCAGGGACCATGCTGCGCTTCCTGTTTGAAATGCACAATCCCCCCTCCCCCCGCTGGAGACTCTTGTACATTTCAAAGTTGGCTGCTGCTGTGCCCCTGCCCTCTCCCACCGAGCTGTAGCTGTGAGGAACCAGCTTTTAAGCTGGCTCCCTCCAGCATCCCTCTCTCTCCCCCCCTTACTGCTTCTATCACGACTAGTAGTGACTAGTCGACTAGCGTGTCAACTAGCTGATAAGCTTTTGCTTATTGGATAGTCGACTAGTCACTTACATCCTTAGTACTTACTCCATCTGGAGGCAGGCAAGATGGCAAAACCCCAATCCTGTTGGTGCTGCAGCTGACCTCCAGTAGCCACTCTCAGTATCACATCCCTCCTCTCTCTGCCCCCTCCCTTTTCATGTTATGGAAAATGGTCCCATTCTCTGCACTTCCCATTTTCTGGGCACAACCAAACCCTGACCTTGGATCTACCCATAGATCTTGGAGCCTCTGACAGGTGATCCCGACTGATTTAGCCAGAGACCTATCAAGGGCTGGGCTTTAGTTGTCCTTCCCCCCACTATCATGCTGGTCCTGCTCTCTGCCTTGGAGCTGCCCCCCCCCCTCCCCCGGGAGCCTCCTGCTTGCAGTGTGTGGGAGGAGAAAAATTGGAGCACTGATGTCAGGGTGTCTCTCCTCCCCCACTTCTGTATCCGATTTTCACACAGAGAGAAGGGGATGGAGGGAGCTTGGCAATGCAAATCTCTGTCACTCTCACACAATCTGGCTGTGTCTAGACTGGCAAGATTTTCCGCAAAAGCAGCTGCTTTTGCGGAAAAACTTGCCAACTGTCTACACTGGCCGCTTGAATTTCCGCAAGAACACTGACTTCCTACTGTCTGAAATCAGTGCTTCTTGCGGAAATCCTATGCTGCTCCTGTTAGGGCAAAAGTCCTTTTGCGCAAAAGGGCCAGTGTAGACAGCTCAGATTTGTTTTGCGCAAAAAAGCCCCGATCGCGAAAATGGTGATTGGGCCTTTTTTGCGGAAAAGCGCATCTAGATTGGCACGGACGCTTTTCCGCAAAAAGTGCTTTTGCGGAAAAGTGTCCGTGCCAATCTAGACACTCTTTTCCGCAAATGCTTTTAACGGAAAACTTTTCTGTTAAAAGCATTTGCGGAAAATCATGCCAGTCTAGACGTAGCCTATGTGTGTGTCTGTCATTCTCACAAACACTCTGTCCCTCACTCTCATCTCCCAACCCAGCACATGCATGGGGGGTAGTTGTTACTACTTTTACTGCTTGCAAAGTGGGTTATTTTGGGGTTTTGACTGGTCTGTGCATTTCATAATTTTCATTTCTCTCTTACGCTTAAATTTAATTCTTTGAGCGGTGAGTTTTAAAATATCTATCCTGTTGTGGCTGGAATAATTATCCCTATAGTAATTGTTGCTCCTAGAAGTGGCTAGCACATCCCTGTAGCCCCTGAGAAAGGCAGAGCAGGGGGTTTCCACATGCTGTCCTGGCCTGCAGACACTACTTCTGCAGCTCCCATTGATCAATAACAAGGAACTGTGGCCAGTAGAAGCTGTGGGCTTAGTGCCTGTGGATGAGGGGCAGCATATGGTGCCATGAAGCCATTGCTGTACATGCCAGCTGCTTTCAGGAGTGGTGCAGCGCCAGGGCAGGAGTAAGCCTGCCTTAACCCCACTGCTCCACTACCTGGAAACTGTCTCAGTTAAATGGTGCCTAGCCAGAGCCTGCTTCCTGAACCCCTGTCCCAGCCCTGAACCTCCTCCTACACCCAACCTCCTGACCAGATGTGAGTCCCCCTGCACCTAAACTCCTTCCCAGAGCTTGCACCCTGAAACCCTTCCTGGGCCCCAATCCCCTACCCTGGGCTAAGCCTGGAGTCCTCCGACACTCTAAACCCTTTGGCCCAAGACCAGAACCCGCACTCCAATCCTCTACCCCAGCCTGGTGAAAGCAAATGAGGTTCGAGGAGGAAGGAGGATAGAGTGAGCAGGGTGACGCCTCAGAGAAGAGATGGAGCAGGATAAGGCCTTGGAGAAGGGGCAGGAAGGAAGTGGGGCAAAGGAATAATTATCCCTATAGTAATTGTTGCTATTTGGATTTGAGGGAGATCTTACATTGCATGTAAATTGTAAAAGTGATCTTGTGGTTACCAAGGTTTCAGACCACTGGTTCAACAGAAAGTTAGGGTAAGAGGAAGTTGCATACCAAATTTTGTGGTCTTAGCTCATACAGTTTAGGAGGAGTTCTTGAACAAACAGACCCACAGATGCATAGACAGATACATTCTAATATATCTATAGAGATGAGAAATTCCATTGAAGTAACTGTGTCTATTCCCAGCCATGAAGTTAAATGTGTTTTGCAGGCTTGGGGCATAATACAAAACCACTCTAAATACAATTATGCTTCTTTAAATAACAAAAGGAAAATTCTTTCTTCTACTTGGTCCTTATGTAAATAGTCTCATTAGGAATACTTGTGTAAATGCTCACCATCAGAATAAATGTTTCTCAACCTGGACCACAGTAGACAAACAGAGCTTTGGCATGGGGCAAAGGGGCAGTTGGAGAGGGCACAAAAGGTGGCTGTAGCTGATATTGTATTGGTCTGATATTTAAGGGAAAGGAAAACAAAATGAGTGCTCACTTTTAAAAAAAGTAATTTGAGCTTTTGAATACACACGCACAGAGCAGCTAAATCAAAATCCTGGTGGAGTGCAAGGAACTGCAGCCAGCTGCAACAAGTCAAATCAAAGAGGCTTTCAATTAACTTTCTATTAACCCAGTAATCCCCAGAAATAGCAAAACTCCTGGCCAAATATAATCAACCAAGAGAAAAAGCTTTTCAAAACCACATTCTCTCAGGAATCCAAAACACATGTTTCTTAGAAAGATACAAGGAGCAAAACTAGTAACCACAGCATAGCAACGGTGAAGCTGCACTGCAGTAGACAAGACTCAAAGTTTGGGTTTGGTATTGTTCCTAAAAACTGCAAATGGAGACAGCAGAACTGCTGGTTCTTCTAAGTCTCATTGAAAGTCATTTTTCCAGTGACTGGCAGATTCAGTGACTTTCAATAGGACTTGCACTCCCATGTCACTTAGGTGCTTTAAAAATGTTACTCACAATGTTTAAAGACAACTGATCCACAGATTCTGTGAGCAGTGCAGATGCATTATGGGGAAGAGCTGCTGTAATGCAGGTAGGCATTTTCTATTCCCTTATGGGCCAGATTATCAGGTGTTCAGCCTGGATAGTTGGGGCTGGATTTTCCAAAGGGCTCACCGCGTTAGATGTTGAGCCTTTTTCCTTGTTTAGGCTCCCTGATGGGAACTGAGCTTTTCAAAAATGTTGCCCCAGTGGCAGATGCCAAGCATTCCTGAAAATTTGGGGCTCCCTGGTTTTCGACTGGTCTAGTTTGAGAGACTAGCTCACTTTCTACATAGCACTGCCACAGCCAGTGGAGCTATGTGAGAGGGACTCCTCCCTCAGTTTGAAAGAGGACAGTTTCTGTGAGGTGCCTTGCATTTTTGCATTTATTCCTTCCTCAGTCAGAAGCCACATGGGTCTGCTGGCCTGTGGGGTAGATTGAAAAGTTCATTTCTCTTCCCAGGCTCTTGCTGGTAATGAGGTTGTGTTAAGAGCTGAGATTTGTGCTTGGGTTGTTTCTTTGTGATTTTTTTTTCTTTTCTGGATTAGGGGAGCATTGCATTTATTTATTTTTTGGCTGTAATCCAGGATAATGGCACCTATGTCCCTGGCTGGGTACTTATATTGCTTTGCATAAATCTAAATGAATAAAACGGTGAGTTGCCAGAGTTTAACAAGCAAAACGTAATTACAACAGACTGCATAAAAAAGCCTCAGGATCTCTGGTGTCAGTTTTCAGTACAAAAGTAACTGACATACCAACCAACCCTAGATGTGTAGGATGTAAAGATTATGAGACCAATAAACTAATGCCTGGAAATGTAGCATTGCAGTTTGGAGATGGGAGAGTCACTTCTGATATTTTCCACCCACAGACGTTACAAAGATCAGAGCTTGTATTTCCAAATGACAGGGTGACAGTTTGCATTTTATACAGTGCGTCAGGAATATTTAACATTTCTAGTCATAATCTGGTTGTTTTATTATTCATACTGTCTCACAGGGAAGCTATGGAACATAAACCTCTGCCAACACATGGTAGAGATTGGGTTAAAAAATCCTCTCAGCTGAACAGAAGCTCTGCAAATGGCTGCCTTTGACACATTAACTGCAGACCACTCTAGCCCTGGGTGGGGCTATTCCTGCAATAGGAAAAGCAAACTGAGGCTACAAGGAGGTTGTTAGTCACTTGCTAAATTTAAACTGGTCTGCATTCGCTCTGGAATAGGAAGCCAGGAGTTCTTGGTGTGTGCAGTTAGTGTCTTGATACCAAAAGCCACAAAGCCAGACAGGGGAGAGTTTTTACATTCCTTTGAGTTGTAACAGTGGAATAGATGCCACATCATCAAAACAACAGGTTTCCTTATGGTCCTGGAGACCTTGTTATAGGAAGGCTGTATTTTGGGAACTGGGGCTGAAAGACCCTGTTTAATCCACAGGATAGTGTGATTATTTTGTTGTCTGGCACTGTGAAGCTGATTAGACTGTGAGAAGTCTATCCTGCATTTCTAGGAGTTTCACTCCCCGGCTTTGTTGTGACAGGTCCATCTCATCCCAGCCAGAGGTCACCACAAGAATATCTGCCATTTATAGCCATCTAGCTCAGGGTTCTCTGTTGCAGTGGACTGTCAAGTCTGGGCAAAGTGGGTGGGCTAAATTAAGACCTGGTATAAATACCAATGAGGTTACTCCTGAGACTTTTGAGCAGTTATTATGCATCTCTCACAAAAAGGCATCTGTTAAAAGCAAGGATAGGCTACTTAGATTTCTGTTCTTGGGCCATCCTGGCATCCTGGCTGGCATTAGAGGCATTTGAAATAAGTAGCTCTAAAAGATACAGGTAGAAGCAAACTCCCTTGTCTTTGACATGTGAAACCTTATATAGTTTCCCCCTTGTTTCCTTAAGAAAACCATGGGTATAAGAACTAATACAAATATACAGTGAGGTTAATAAGTGAGGGTGAGAGGACAAAATGTTCCACAGTAAGGTATAGGCATTTATGTGCATACATGTGTTTGTATGTGACTTTTGTCCTTGGAATGCTAGAACCAAGACACTTGAGAGGCTCATTCTTGAAGCCCTTTTTGCTGACGACTGTGCACTTACGGCACATGAGGAATCTAATCTCCAGCTTATCGTCAACAAGTTTGCTGAAGCAACTTGCCTCTTTGTTTTGACCATCAGCCTAGGAAAGACCAAGATACTGTTCCAGCCTGCTCCAGGATATGCTGCTTTCCTCCCTTCAATTTCTATTGAAGGAACAGAGTTAAAAACAGTGGACAAGTTTAAGTACCTCAGCAGTGTGACAGACAATGACGGCTCCCTTGACAAAGAAATCAATGGCGTTGCAGATCCTGGCAATCAGGCATTAGGACGTTTGAGAGCATGAGTGTTGAATCAGCACAATATTCAACAGTCCACTAAACTGAAAGTGTACAGGGCTGTAGTCTTGACCAGCCTCCTGTATGGACGCGAAGCCTGGACCTTGTACAGAAAACAAGTGAAAGTACTGGAGTGCTTCCACACACGCAGCCTGAGGTCATTACTGCACATTCGATGGTAGGACAGAGTCACAAGCTTGGAAGTCCTTGACTGAGCAGGAACCACAAGCACTGAAGCCATGATTCTGAAAGCCCAGTTTCGTTGGACAGGGCACATCATTCGAATGGAAGATTCAAGAATTCCTAAGCAACTCCTCTAGGGTGAACTCTCCCAGGGCAAAAGGAATCAAGGTAGGCCTCTTGGGGTATAAAGACTGCGTAAAGGCCAATATTTCTCATGCTGGATTAAAGCCAAAGCAGCTAGAGCATCATGCAGAAGACCAAACAGGCTGGCGGGCTCTTGTACGACACACGTATGACAACTTTGAAGAGCAGCGATGCATATGCCTGATTGATGCTCTTGAGAGGAGAAAAGCAACAGTAGCAGCCACACCGACAGAGCCAGGACAATTCCTTTGCCCCCACTGTGAATGCTCATGCCATTGAAGGCTTGGACTCCTCAGCCACATGCGAGTCCACAATCGATGAGCCTGTGCAAGCTCAAGACGTCATCGTTGGACTTGACCGACTACCATTATGAAACCTAAGGTACCAGTCCTGCACAGACCTAGACATTTAGTTACTCTGCATATGGGGGAAATCCTGGCCCTATTGAAGGCGGTGATAGTTTTCTCTGAGTACATCCTGTGATTTCAATACAACTACTGATAGAGTGAAATTTTCAGAAGGGCACCCAAAAAGAACAGGCACTCGCGGATTGGGAGAGCACAGAAAGTGGCTGCTCCTGCTGCTGCAGTGTCCAAAGTGGTCTGATCAAGAAGGGAAAAGAAAACAAAACCACTAGGAAGTTTTAAAAATTGTCTGAATGTTTGACCTTTAACTGAAACAAACAGCAAATGAAACAAACAATGATGAATGTGGCCCGTTGAAACCCCTCTGACATCGAGGAAAACCTTAAGCGCTGCAATTAAATCAAGCATCCTCCTCGACTTCAAGTAACTGTAGACAATTCCAGGAATTCAAATCAAAGAGGCTACGTCTAGACTGGCATGATTTTCCACAAATGCTTTTAATGCAAAAGCACTTTTTGCGGAAAAGCGTCCGTGCCAATCTAGACGTGCTTTTCCGCAAAAAAGCTCCGGTCGCCATTTTCATGATCGAGACTTTTTTGCGCAAAACAAATCTGAGCTGTCTACACTGGCCCTTTTGCGCAAAAGGACTTTTGCCCGAATGGGAGCAGCAAAGTATTTCTGCAAGAAGCACTGATTTCAGACAGTAGGAAGTCAGTGTTCTTGTGGAAATTCAAGCGGCCAGTGTAGACAGCTGGCAAGTTTTTCCACGAAAGCAGCTGCTTTTGCGGAAAAACTTGCCAGTCTAGACGCAGCCAGAGACTCCCAATGAACTTTTCTATTAACCCAGTAATTCCCCCCAAACAGAAAAATCCTGGCCAAACAAGAATCACCCATTTCTGTGTATGTGCTGGCTGGAGGACTCTGGAGGAGAAGGGGTGGTCACAGCTGGCAGCTGGAGAGGTGCTTTGAAACTGCTGCTTCTCTCCAGCCACCAGCTACATGTCTGCCCTCTGCTCCTCTGGAGTCTTCTGGCCCATGCTTGCACCACTTGCTGCCTCCTGGTGAGCAGGGACTGGGTGCAGCCCATGGAGAAGAGGCGGGGGCGTGGGCTGGCTGCAGGAGCTGGTGCAGTGCCTGCGTTTCCTCATGCACCAGCATTCAGATGAAATAAAAAAATAGTCTTTTTTAATTGCAAATATACAGCATTTCAGACACATCATGGGTCATATAGGCTTTTGTAGAGCAGCGTGGGAACTTAGGTACTATTTATAACATTGGAACTTTGGAATGTATTTTCCCATAGGAAAAAACCACCTGACTTACAAATGAACTTTTGGAACGCAACCCACTTGTAAGTTGGGAACTCCTGTCCTTGCATTCGCACGAGGGGCTTATAGTGCTTTAACTATGTCAGTATAGCTAAAACAATGCCATTTCTGTATGCAGATAAACCCGAAGTCACTTGGGAACACAAGTCCCATTGTCCACTGAATGAAGTCCCATTGAATTTGAAATGCAGTTGGACTTGCCCTTCTGTAAATCCAACCCTCAGGGCACAGCACTAAACAAGTGCTTACGTGTTTGTATGACTGGGTTCTTAGAAGGTATTTGCACCTGCACCTGGCCATATGGTGCTTAGCATATCGGGCTGCAAGTATGTGACTAAGATTTGCAGGCATGACTTAGTTGTATGCATGTGTCAGGAGTGACACAAAAATAACTCTGAAAATCTGGCTCATATATTTAATCAGTTTGTGTGGGAAACAAATGCAAATTGCAGCAAGCTATAACCTTGTAATTCAATTTAGCTTTTAATTAAGGCAATAGCTACACTACAGCTTATGCTGGCATAATTTAAGTCTCTGAGGGTATGTCTACACTACCCCGCTAGTTCGAACTAGCGGGGGTAATGTAGTCATCCGCAGTTGCAAATGAAGCCCGGGATTTGAATTTCCCGGGCTTCATTTGTATGAAGCTGGCCGGCGCCATTTTTAAATGCCGGCTAGTTCGGAGCCCGTGCCGCGCGGCTACACGCGGCACAGACTAGCTAGTTCGGATTAGACTTTTTATCTAAACTTTACTCTACTTACAGAAGAGTCTATTTTTGGAGGGAGACATTCTGTGTGACTCCCTCAGTAGCTGGAGAGAAACTGCCCAGAGTAAAGAGGGAAAAAAACCAAAAATTCCTTTGTTTCAGTTTGAAATTCCTACCTGCATTCCTATTGGCTGACTCTACCTGGCTTAGGTAAGGGACATAGTTAACCCCTTAGTCCCTCATGGTCATGACAATTCACTACACCATTCCGTACCCTCTCACCTTCCTATCTGTTTGAGTAGCAGGCAAGAAAGAACTGAAGAAGCACCACTCCATGACTGGACGGGCAATACTACAGGAAAAACTTTCCCTGACTGTGCACGACACACACATGCCTAACTGGAATGGACATGAGCAACACATCTCAAAGAACAACAAGAAGCCAACTAACCAGTTTTACAACCCTTCGCCTCCACCCCAAGATTTTATAGCATGTTGGGTGAAGGGTGTAGAGGCTTCCAGAAATACTCTGTAGGAATTTAAGCCCTGGTCATACCTTCAATTAATTCAGCAGTGAAGACCATCCCACAGAATGGTTTGCTGCTGCCCCATGGCCGTTCAGTTTTCTATGACCCTAACAGACATTTTTAAAATAAACTCCTGAGCACATGCCTGACTGCCAGAAATTACTGAATTCTAAGCTTGGCTCTGACATTCATCATCTCTGCAACCTTCAGTAAGTTCCTTACCCTCCCCATGTCTCAGTTTCCCTGTCTGTAAAATAATGCTTGCTATCTCTTAGGAGCATCTTGGGGACTGGTTACTGCTTGAGAGAGGAAAAAATTATTTACATACGAATCATATTTAACTAGCAGTGGATCTGTGTCAGTCACTCAAACTCCAAGTTCAGGTGTAGTCATTCTCCTTCCCATTTGGTCAGCCCAAAGCGTGATTTCTTGGAAGAGGAATAAAAATGAAGTCATAGTATTAGATCAGTGGTCCCCAACGCGGTGCCCACAGGCGCCATGGCACCCACCGGGCCATTTCTGTGCACCCACTGAGTGATCGGGGCTGGTCCCACTGCTGGGCGCATGGGCGGTGCTGGCCCCTGGGCGCGCAGCATATGGGCGGCCCCGCCCCCAGGTGCACGACGCAAGGGCTGTGCCGGCTCTGGGCACATGGCACAGGGGCGGCGCTGGCCCCAGGCGTGTGGCGTATGGGCTGTGCCGGCCCCTAGGCACGCGGCACCAGCCCCAGTTGCGCAGTGCCTGGGTGTTGCCAGCTCCTGGGCGTGCAGCGTATGGGCGTCCCCGCCCCTGGGCGTGCGGCACAGGAGCGGCGGCGGCCCCGGGCATGCAGCGCATGGGCTGTTCCAGTCCTGGGTGCGCGGCGTATGGCAGCACAGATGCAGCGCCGGCCCTGGGCGTGTGGCATATGAGCAGTCCTACCCCTGGGCGTGTGGCATAGGAGCTGTGCCAGCCGCGGCAGTGTGGTGCACGGGTGGCGCCAGCACTAGGCACGCGGTGTATGGGTGGCCCCGCCCCTGGGCACGTGCACAGCCCCGCCCCCAGGTGCCGAGTGTGTGAGTGGCCCCACCCCCAGGTGCCCGGCAGCCCCAAAAGGTTGGGGACCACTGTATTAGATGAAGAGTGCGTCTAATATGAAATAAACCTCTGAATAAACTTCCAGTCCAGCTGATGATACAATTTTACTTTGGCACCCTTTATTCCTTGTAAAGTACCACAGATAGGTAGAACAGTTGTAAATAGCTTGCAGCAATGCAAATACTTCCAGGCTAGTGTAAAAAATAATTACAGTTAGAGGTATCAGTTGTGATTGTGTCTGTAGCATCTTCCAGTGGCAGAAACAAAGTACAGTATGTATATTTTTAAGGCAGGCAGGCTGGGACAGCTAAAGCCACGGATGTTTATCTACATAGGTGCTGGAATCAGGGCATGCTGCACCTCAATGTTTGAAGTGATTTCCATTATATACAAGATTTATGTTTTGGTTCAATGACTCTCAGCCCCCCTCCCACCACCACTATTGTTCCAGCACCCTTGTCTATCTTTATTATTAGTAATGTGTTACATGTAATGTAAACCAGTTAGCACATTTTGTTGTGCTGCTAAAAAGAATGGCTGCCAAGCAGTCTGAGGTGATCTGGCCTGGAGAATGATCAGTAATTCTAACAGTAGGAATGAAGACCATGAAGAAAGAGAGGCTGGGGGCAGCCTTTATTTTTAGCAGCAAGGTTTAGCAGCAAGGTACAGGCGAGGGTATGCTGGCTCCCTCACATGGTGCACTCCAAGAATCCTCACATCTATGGGGGAGACCAACTGTTGCTGCATGTTCAAAAAATGCAGAAGAGATTATGCTGGCCTCACTCCCCATCCCCAAAGAGCCCATAGGCAGCAGGAGCTTCCCATCCATGGGAAGAGCAGGTGACACCAGACACAAGGTATAGCTGCCATGGTCCCTGTCTTTAGAGAGCTCCAAGAAGTAGAACCCTCCCCTCCTCTCTCTCCTCAGGGGGAAAGCAGATCATTGAACAAAGTAGACTTGACATGGTGGCAGATCTGTGCAATGGGAACAAGCCTACATTGGCAGACTTTGGACCAGATGTCTTAATCAGATCTTGCTCAACTCTAGATTCTATAATTTAATCACAGAAAATATTTTTACATGGGTGGCATCATGAGGTAACTTAATGGACCATTCAGAGAGGTAAACAAGAGCAATATGAACAGTGGAGGAATTGTAGAAATAAGAACACTCCTTAAAGTTTACTTTCTCACTTGCCTTTTTTTTTACTTGATAAGATTGTAACTTTTTTTTTTTTTTACAATGCTCTTTTACTTCCAGTAATTCATTGAAGAGTCTTAGATTTGCTGTAATGATTTCCATTCTGTGTTTCTTTTTCTACAAACTCTCAGTTCCAGGGGATAGGGTAGGGGCATGGGAGAGGAAGAGTTTTTTGTAACTATAGCGTGGAACTGCTGAAGTGTTATTTTGTGTAACATCTACTTTCTTAGAAGTAAATGCTGTAACTAGAACATAAGGGAGGGGAATGTTGCTTTAATCTGATTTAACCCCCAAACTTGCAAAGACTTATGTATGTGACATAATCATAATTAACTTTGGGTAATGGCTAGTTCTATGGGATTCTGTCCAGCATTGGGGGTTTGGTAATTAAAATTCTTCCAAAGCTTCTAGAGAGCTGTAACTGGGAGCACACTTGTGTCTGGATAATCTATGATGCCTAAGTGTGGGGATAAAAAATGTATCAGCATAAAGAGTCAGTTGCTTCATGCACAAAATGGCAAAGCAATGTTTATGTTACTCTTGTCATCCAGGCTGAGTGTCATAAAACATATATGCCACATAATATCATCATGTGTTCAGTAAGCATATTTTGTAGAAAAATTATTTAAGTTTTTAAACATTGTATTAGTGCTTTCTTCAGTACTTTCTTCTACCTCATCCTGTCTGGGAAGCCAAGTTTGCAGATGACAAGTAATATATGTTGGAAGCCTGCTTCCCAATGTATGATAATGCTGTGATTGTTAAGGTCTGAGCTGGTAATGATTTACACTTTATGTGCACAGGTTGAAATGGTTACAGAAATGAAAGACTGGAGAATCAGACCCCTTCTTTGAGCCTGGAATGGATATGAGGTATTGAGTACTGTGTGTCTGTCATTGTTTCAGGGGTTGATAGCCTGTACTTTAGCCTAGCACGGGGACATGGGAATGATTGTCACTGATAGTTGTTTTGATTTTAATCTGGCAGCTGTGTGAAACAGTTCACCAGATAAGAAATCTTTGAAGTTGTCCTGGGGAGGGGGGAATTATTAGACAGAGGCTTGGAGAGTGGGCAATGATAACAGGATAAATACAATTTATCACCATATATGTGGACTTACTCACTTATTACCAAAAAATGTGGTTCTGTTTTAACTGGAGAAATTGATCTGATATCTTACCATTGTAAGGTATGTACAAAAGTAACACTAAAAATGAATGTTCTCAGATTTCCGAGTTAGAGATAGTGTTGCCTGTGAATAAACTGATAACTGAAAAATAGACATTTAATGCAGATTCACATCAATTATATCGTTTTTCAACAAATGTGTATTATTTAGTGGTATTATTTTAGCATATAATTGTTAAATCATCAGCATCATTAGTTGGTTCTAACTGATAGGGCATGGTGTATAAAAGAATAAGGCATGTAACTCAAATGCCTGTTAACACATAACATATTTATTGGCTGACCCACAGTAGCTGTGCATTGTGCTAACCTGTTGACCCCCCCAGTCTGACTTGGGCTTGCCTCGGTGCTCTATCTCTCTTCCTGCCAATGCAAGGCACAGAATTATCAGTCACAGAAGGAAGCTCCATCCTCCTCATCAAAAGAAGAGTCACTTAAAGACAGGCCCTTGTGAGGGGGAGGAATTAGGGGGAAGCATCCTGTGTAGGGAGAATATATTCGGAGTTTAGATATACTCAGGGGGGCTGACAGAATTGGAGGCCCTACGGCAAGTTGGGAAAGCCAGCTCTGTGCTCCTGGAAGGGGCAGGACTTTGGAAGGAAGTGACGGGCTGAGGCAGTCAGCTCTCAGTGTTGCCTGGAGC